GACCCAAATCGCAGTGTTTTGACCCAAATTGGGGCATTTTGACCCAATTTGGGACATTTTCACCCAAACTGAGACATTTTGACTCAAATCAGGGTAATTTTGACCCAAATCGTGGCATTTCGACCCAAATCGGGGGGTTTTGACTCAAACTGCGGCATTTTGACCCAAACTGGGGCATTTTCACCCAAAGAGGGACATTTTGACCTAAACTGGGGCATTTTGACCCAGATCGGGGTATTTTCACCTAAATTGGGGCATTTTCACCCAAATTGGGACATTTTGACCCAAACTGTGGCACTCTGACCCAAATTGCAGCATTTTGACCCAATTTGGAACATTTTCGCCCAAACTGAGACATTTTGACTCAAATTGGGACATTCTGATCCAGATCGTGGCATTTCAACCCAAATTGGGAGGGGGGTTGTAGGACGACTGTTCCCGCTGACTGTACCCCCACGCTCCAGACCCCAAACCAGGCTCATTTCACCCCAAAATGACCCCAAATCCCCCCAAAATGATCCCAAATCCCCCCCAAATGACCCAAATCCGGGTGATTTCACCCCAAATCGACTCACACACCCCCCGGAGCTGTCCTGGCCCTGCTGCCTGTAGCTGGGAGGGGGGTTGTAGGACGACTGTTCCTGCTGACTGTACCCCCACGCTCCAGACCCCAAACCACACTGATTTCACCCTAAAACGACCCCAAATCCCCCAAAATGACCCCAAATCTGGGTGATTTCCCCCCAAAATAACTCACACACCCCCCAGAGCTGTCCTGGCCCTGCTGCCTGTAGCTGGGAGGGGGGTTGTAGGACGACTGTTCCTGCTGACTGTACCCCCATCCCACAAACCCTAAAGTGACACCAAACCCCCCAAAATGACCCCAAATTCCCCAAAATGACCCCAAATCTGGGTGATTTCACCCCAAAATGACTCAAACACCTCTTGGAGCTGTCCTGGCCCTGCTGCCTGTAGCTGGGAGGGGGGGTTGTAGGACGACTGTTCCTGCTGACTGTACCCCCCTATTACAGACCCCAAAATAACCCCAAACCCCCCCAAATGACTCCAAATCCCCCAAAATGCTCCCAAATCCCCCCAAATCTGTGTGTTTTCCCCCCAAAATGATTCCAACACCCCCCAGAGCTGTCCCAGCCCTGCTGGCTGTAGCCGGGAGGAGGGTTGTAGGACGACTGTTGGCTGTAGCTCTGCTGGGGGTTGTACCCCCTATTACAGACCCCAAACCCCCCCAAATGACCCCAAATCCGGGTGATTTCCCCCCAAAATAACTCAAAACACCCCCCAGAGCTGTCCTGGCCCTGCTGGCTGTAGCTGAGGAGGGGGTTGTAGGACGACTGTTCCTGCTGACTGTACCCCCTATTACAGACCCCAAACCCCTTAAATTCCCCCAGAATGACCCAAAATGACTCCAAATCCCCCAAAATGACCCCAAATCCCCCCCAAACGACCCCAAAAGGACTCACAGGTGCCGGAGCTGTACTGGCCCTGCTGGCTGTAGCTGGGAGGGGGGTTGTAGGACGACTGTTGGTTGTAGCTCTGCTGGGGGCTGTACCCCCTATTACAGACCCCAAACCCCCCCAAATGACCCCAAATCCGGGTGATTTCCCCCCAAAATAACTCACACACCCCCCAGAGCTGTCCTGGCCCTGCTGGCTGTAGCTGGGAGGGGGTTGTAGGACGACTGTTCCTGCTGACTGTACCCCCTATTACAGACCCCAAACCACACTGATTTCACCCCAAATGACCCCAAAACGACCCCAAAAGGACTCACAGGTGCCAGAGCTGTCCCAGCCCTGCTGGCTGTAGCTGGGAGGAGGGTTGTAGGACGACTGTTGGCTGTAGCTCTGCTGGGGGCTGTACCCCCTATTACAGACCCCAAACCACACTGATTTCACCCCAAAATGACCCCAAATCCCCCCAAAACAACCCCAAAAGGACTCACAGGTGCCGGAGCTGTACTGGCCCTGCTGGCTGTAGCTGGGAGGGGGGTTGTAGGACGACTGTTGGCTGTAGCTCTGCTGGCCCCCGCTGTAGCTCTGCTGTTGGCTGTACCCCCCGCTCGGGGGTTGCCCGTAGCTCGAGCTCCCGGAGCCGCTGCCGTAGCTGGGGGAAAAAAAAACCACCCCAAAAGTCACCAAAACCGCCCCTTTTTACCCCCAAAACTCCTTAATTACTGCTTAACAATCAATTATTACACAGTTAATTAGTGGTTAATTAGCAGAGAAGTCGTAACAGTCGATCCTAAGCTGATAAAAATTTTTTGTTCTTATCGATTTTTTTTCTTTGCACTTTATTGTTTTCTAAGGTTCTTTTTATGGTTTTTCATTATCAAACTGCCCCTAAATAATTATATTTAACAGAAAAACTCATTTTAGGATTATTTGCCCCAATCCCACCTTCCGGAGGCGGCGGAAAGTTGGGAATACCCAGAGTAGGATGAGGTCTGGTTGGAGGAGCTCTGGGAGCTCTGCCCCGTCCCATATCCCTAAAATAACCCCTAAACCACCCCAAAACCCCTCAAAATCCTCCTAAAATCCCCCAAAACCCCTGGAATTCCCCAAAACCACCACAATTGCCCCAATCCCACCTTCTGGAGGCCGAGGAGGCCACAGGAACTTAAGAAGACTCAAAGTAGGACGAGGCCTGGCCGGAGGAGCTCTGGGAGCTCTGCCCCGTCCCATATCCCAAAACTCCCATCCCAGAATTCCAAAACCCCACAATTCCCCCCAAACCCCCCCAACTCACCTTCTGGAGGCCGAGGAGGCGGCGGGGGGTTGGGAATACCCAGGGTAGGACGAGGCCCGACCAAGGGACCTCTACCCTGTCCCATATCCCAAAACTCCCATCCCAGAATTCCAAAACCCCACAATTCCCCCCAAATCCCCCCAAACCCCCCCAAAATCTCACCTTCCAGAGGCCGAGGAGGCGGCGGGGGGTTGGGAATAGCCCAGGTAGGACGAGGCCTGGCCGTAGGAGCTCTGGGAGCTCTGCCCTGTCCTGTACCCCCAAAACACCCCCTAAATCCCTCAGAATCCCCCCAAATCTCCCCAAAATTCCCCAAATCTCACCTTCCAGAGGCCGAGGAGGCGGCGGGGGGTTGGGAATACCCAGGGTAGGACGAGGTCTGTCCATAGGAGCTCTGGGAGCTCTGCCCCGTCCCGTATCCTCCCCCACTGCCGTAGGGCTGCGGGGCCGACTGGGTGTTGTAACCTGGGGGGAGAAATCGGGGTGAGCCCCCTCAGATTTTGGGGTTTTTTGGGGGCTTTGGGGTTTTTTGGGGTCCGTACTGCTCTGGGTCTGGCTGTAGGAGGAGCTGTAGCTGTTCTGGCCGTATCCCGAGGTGTCTGTGGACTGGGAGTAGCCGGAGTAGCTCTGCTGGGAGTAGGGTTGGCTGCTCTGCTGGGAGTAGCCCTGGCTCGGGGGCGTGGGGTAGGCGCCGTAGCTGGGAGGGAAAAACACCAAAATTGGGGGAATTAGGGGAAAAAAAGGGGAATTCCCAGCGGGAACGGGGGTTGGGGGGAGCAGGGGGTGGGATAAGGGGGGGGCGGTACCTTTGCGTGGCGGTCTGGCTGTAATCTGGGGGGAGAAAGAGAGAAATCGGGTTAAAAATTGGAA